AAAATATAGTCCAGTAACATCTCAAACAAATTTCCGTCTGCTGTGAATACATGTTTCGTTGCATCAAATGAAAAAAAAACAATTTTATGATAGAGCTTGCGATCTTGTGCATCAAATGCCACACAGGGTCAAGCGATTGACCAATAAAAATTGTGGTTTTATGTATCAGGTCATTGAATGTATCCAAAAACATGGTACCAATGATCTGAAATTTCAGGAGTGCTCGTTGAAGGCTTATTAATCTTGTGTATTGTCTTGTGTTAATGGATACTGCTCATGCTGTAGAACATGAATCAAACCCTTACACTGTTCGAAAATTAAATTTATTTCTTTTTTTATTTCTTTTTTCTATCTAGAATTTTAGTATTCTCAAATTAAATTTAAATATTACATATACACATATATACTATTCTGTACCACATGTTTTTTTTAAGCCACCTTTGTTTATACTTATTTTTAACTATGATTTTTTTTTTTTTTTACAGGCAGCAGCGGTATTTTATATACCCTTCTATATTGATCTATTTGCCCTTTAGTGGCTCATCTGCAATACTGACCTCTAGTGGCTCAACATTAATATTGCCCTGTAGTGGCTCAACATTAATATTGCCCTGTAGTGGCTCAACATTAATATTGCCCTGTAGTGGCTCAACATTAATATTGCCCTGTAGTGGCTCAACATTAATATTGCCCTGTAGTGGCTCAACATTAATATTGCCCTGTAGTGGCTCAACATTAATATTGCCCTGTAGTGGCTCAACATTAATATTGCCCTGTAGTGGCTCAACATTAATATTGCCCTGTAGTGGCTCAACATTAATATTGCCCTGTAGTGGCTCAACATTAATATTGCCCTGTAGTGGCTCAACATTAATATTGCCCTGTAGTGGCTCAATATTAATATTGCCCTGTAGTGGCTCAACATCAATATTGCCCTGTAGTGGCTCAACATCAATATTGCCCTGTAGTGGCTCAACATCAATATTGCCCTGTAGTGGCTCAACATTAATATTGCCCTGTAGTGGTTCAACAT